TAAAAGATTATAGAATTTATAAATATAAGCTTTTAATACTTTAAAAAGTTTTAGCTTATTTAATAATTTAAATTTAAATTAGTTTATTATTTTTTTCTGGACTGCAAAACCTGCTGGAACTTAACCTATCTTATAATCTATTAAATACTTAATTTTTATTAAATGATTAAAAGTTTTATTTAGTACTACAACTATAGTAATATTAATTATCTTTATTCTACTATAATTAAATAAAAATAAATAAAGTATTTTTTTAAGCTTCTATACCCCTTTTTTCTTTTTATATTTTATCTATCTAAAAACAGTAGGCCTACTATTTATAAAATTTATAATATCTATAATAATCTTTTTAATTATTTAGATTACTTAATTAATTAACTAGTAAAAAAGCAGGCGCCCTAAAAAAAGAAGATTTTTAAAAACTTATAAAATATATATTAAAAGCTTTAAAAATACTATTATTATATCTACTAAATAAAAGGCTATATTTATATAATTATAACTATTCTAAACCTAATATTAAAGCTTAAAAATTTAAAAAAGATATATAGTTTAATAATAATATTAACTAGTATAATAAGTACCAAACTATTTTTAAAAAAGTTTTTTATTTTTATTATAGTTAAAATCTAGTAATTAATATACTATTATCTAGCTCTGTATTATCATCTGGTTTAGATAAAACTTTTTATAATATTTTTAAATACTAAAGACTCTCACCTGCAGCAGAAATATTTAAAAAACTTAAAATATATCTAAATATTAAAAATATTTTAAAAAAATATTTTTAATTAAACTAATACTGTTTTAAATATTATAAAATATACTAATATTTTTACTTACTAAAAGTCCTGTTGTAATTAGTTTTTTATTTTTTATTAAATAGCTAAAGATTTTCTTTTAGTTGCAATTAATAGTATTAGTATTAAATATTTATTTAATAATTTTTAAAATATCTGCTACTATTACCGGAGCTGTTTTTATTTTAATATAATTAAAATAGTTATACTTTAGATATATACTAATTATTTTACTATTAATAAAAAATACTAGGATATTTTTAATAATCTTAATCCAGATTTAATTATCTTTATATCTAAAAAGTAAAAGGAGGATAAGATAATTACTGTTTTTTATATTAATAAAAATAAAAATATAAATAATGTTAAAAATAACTTTAAAAATAGATTATTATTAGTAATAGGGGAACTACTTTTATATAAATCTTTAAATAATATATATATTTAAATAAAAATAGAAACCCGGTTTTTATAATTTCTATACTATTATACTTATAATTTTAAATAGTATAAAGAGTAGTATAATATTATTAGTATATCTAATAATAAATACTATTTTTTTATATTAGGCTTTATAAAAGTCTTTTGCAAAATACAGTATATTTCTTAAATAAAATATATAGTATAGGTTAATAAGATAAAATAGGTAAAGTAGGTTAATTAAATAAAATAAATTAATTAAATAAAGCAGATAAAATAAATAAAGCAGATAGACTAAAACTAAAAAATATTACTATACTATAATTAAAAATATATTATACTTTATATATTATTTATATAAAAAAATATATATATTATAAATTAATCTATAGTTATTAATCTATCTGCTATATCTGATCTTTCTAATCTGTAGATATAAATAGTTAAAATAATAATTATATTTTAATCTGATTATAACTGTACAGTTAAAACTTTTTGTTATAGGACAGACCTGCAATACTTGCTGTATATAACTGTAGTCTTTTTATCTTCCCACCGGACGTCCGCAATCTTTCTGTTCTCTAACTATTTCTTCTTATTTATACAGCATGTTTAGGTTAGAACTAATCTAAGTTTATTTTATAATATTAAAAATAGTTTATCTATCTATTAGTAATAGTAATTAGATAATTACTATATATTTTAGAATAAAAGTTTTACTAGTCTAATCTAACCTGTCTGTTTTATCTAATTATATAATTTTTTTTATAATATTTAAATAAATATTTTTTATTCTGCTAATACAGCAGCTTTAGTAAAAACTTTAGAACTAGTATACTAAAATCTAATAGTTATATACTAATCTAAATATATCTTATACTAAGATCTAACAGCTTTATATATAATAAATTATTTATTTAGTATTTGGAATCTGCCTGTTTAATCTGTCTTGTTTTAACAGTAAGCTATATATACTATATATATAATTTTTTTTTATTAAAGTAAAGCTATAATCCGACCAACTTTCCAAAGCTAATACTTTTAATTATATTATAATTAATTAAAATAGTTTTAATAGGTTTTAATCCTATATCTCCGCCAGCTTGTAAAAAATAGATAATCTTAGGATTTAAAAAATATTTTTTAATTTTTTATATAATTGTATTACAATCTGTGTGAATAATAAAAAGCTATTTAATAATTTATATTAATATACTTAAAAAATAATAAATTATTTATTACTTATTTTATATATTTTAAACAACTTTTATATAAAACTAATATAATTATCTAGCTGGATATTTTATATATACTTATACTTTACTAAGGATTATAATTAAACCTATACCAGATCTTAGAAAACTTTAATAACTTAATATTTAATTATTTATATAATAAATATATTAAACTTGTTTAGTATACTAACTAGTATATTATTTAACTAATTTTTAAATCTACTACTAAACTTATTTTAAAGCCTACTGTATTTATCTAATTAGATTTAATAAATATAAATTTTATAAAAATATTTACAGCTTATCTAAGCTTACTAGTCTTATTTATTATATTTATTTTATCTTACTATTTTTATTATTTTAAAAATAATTTTTATTTATATTATAGGTTAAACAACTACTAGATTTCCAACTATAAAAAGCCTTTTAAAATCTAAAATAAAATTTATATAAAAATTATAATATATAGTTCTACACTCAGTACCTACTTTAATAAATAGTTTTTTTTAAAAATCTAAATAAAAGGGGGGGTACTGTTACAGAACAGACCTATAATACTTATTATATATAACTATAGTTTTTTTATTTTTCTACCAGACTTCTGTAATCTTTCTGTTTTCTAACTATTCCTCCTTATTTGTATAGTATGCTTAGGTTAGAACCAATCTAAGTTCATCCCATAACACTTTTTTATATCTTAATCTGACTACTAGATTATGGCCAGGTTAAGGTTAAGATATAACAGTCAGGTTAAGCCACTCTATACTATACTAGTATAATTAGATGTATACTAGTATAATAAGTTATAAATACTTATAAACTTTTAAATTTTATATAAAATATACTAAATGCTTTTCAATACTAATAATTTCTAAATTTTTATATTTTTTACTATCTTATATAATATATTCTATAATAAGTTTTTAGATTATATTATTATATTATTATAAATATTATTTTTTTAATTAATCTTAGATGTGCCTTTATATTTAGTTTTAATAGTAAAATATTATAGTCTGTCTTTTATATTTTTTTATAATATAAAAAATAGCTTTTATTTTTATAAATAATAAAAATATAATTAATTATTTTTTTCTCTATTTTGGTTTTTAAGGTGCTTGATAGTTTAATCTAAAAATAAATAAACTAATATATTTATAATATAATTAATAAATTTAAATAAACCAGCTAACTAAAATATTTTTTAATATATTTTTATATAACTTATTTATAAAGACTATAAACTTAAAGTTTTTCAAATGGTAATTTATTACTATATATATGTTGTATAATACCTGTGGTATGCGGCCGCCAGCCCCCACTCCAACACTGATATTGTTACTGGTTTGTTGGGCTTCTAATCCGGGTTTTTATATTAGTATAAAGCTGACCCCTCTTTTCTAAGATGTATATAAGCACTTAAAATCCTTAGAAGAATTGGGAATCCCTAAGGATTAGTCTTGTAATTAATAGGAGACTACTTTTAACTGCTTTTGCCTTGCCTAACCAACATGTCTACTGTATTAAGTAGTTCCTGACAATATACTACTAAATAAATATCTATCTTATTATTTTAAATTAAAAAGTTATATTTACACTATTTTATATATAATATTTATACTAAAAATAAAAAGTATTTATAATAATTATACATTTTTTATTAGAATATATAAATATAGTACTTTAAAAAATATCTAAAAAATAATTTTATATAATTTTAATATATTACAATAAAAAATACTATATTTATTTCTATCTTTAAATAAGTATATCTAAAAAATAAAAACAAAACTAAAGATTTTTATTTATATATTAAAAAGTTTAATATATATCTTTAGAAAAAATATTATATTATTTATACTATTAAATTTAATTCAGCTTTTTGAATATTTTTATAAAAGTATATTATATATATATTATAAATAAAAAAGTTGCAAGACCTTTAGTTTAATTAAATATTATAAAATTTAAAAAATATTAAATAAAAAAAATATAGATCTAAATTTATTATAAACTATTATTAGCCTATAAATAAAGCTATTTTAATAATTTTAATAAAGATTTATATTAATACTATTATTACTTAAAAGTATATTACTATTAAAAAATTTAAATTAAATATAAAATAATTATTAAAATAAAATTTAATATTTTTTAAAAACTAGAAATATAACAGGTATAGCAGCTGAAATAAAAAGTAAAATAAATAATATTAGTAATATATATTTTATTTAAATTATATAACTAGATTATTTACATTTAAATATACAGTTAAAATAATAGTTATTTTTTTAGTTTTTAGTTTTAAAATAATCTAGATTGCTTTAGAACGGTTAAGGGATTATTTAAAATATATATTTTTATATTTTTTCTATACTCCGGGCCGCTTAGGGAGCAAAAAGCAGCGCCAAGTTCAGCCTAAAGCAGAAAAGGAATTCTGCAGGAATCCAGTTCGTTAGTTTCCTAGTAGACACAGTAATATAAAGCCAACCCTTCTTGTGTGCCTTGTTGCTCATACACCCTGAGCTCTTAACACTAACATGCGATGAAATCACTTCTTCCACAAAATTTGTCTCTTTGCACTGCCGACTTTGTCTTGTCTTTTGTGACCGAGCTCACACAGCAAGAATTGCTTATCAGTGAGGATCTAATGGCAGACGACCGAGTCAGTGGCCATAACAATGCTGTCTACAATGCCGTGCCTGAAAACAACCAGATATCTAAAATTAAATTCCTTGAGATTGCCCCGACTCCTATTATTGCATAAGACCTATTCTACTCTTAGTTTTATTTTAAGATTAATAGCCTAATTAATCGACTGTGTCTTCTTCATCTACCTCCGCAATTGCATACCTAACTCTAAGAAGATGGAGCTGGTACTTCTTCCCAATAAAGGCCTTATTAATACAACCCTTAAAATAAGCAGCTCTGCTGTCTATCTAGATAGTACTCTGGAGAAAGAACAGTCTACTATAGGACTATTAAAAACTACAACCTTTAATAATTATACCCACCTTATAATTTGTAATACTTCTGGGGTTTGGGTTAATTATATGGCCAGTAGCAGCCGCAGTGATCTTCTACTAGATTTCCAGATTCCTACAATATTTTTAAAAACTGGTATGTGGACTTTCAAGGTCGATGCGCGAGCGGGAGATGAAGATAATATGTGCCTATTTGCTGTGAAAATGACACAATGGTTAAAGGGGGGGCTGCACTAGGATGATTGGAATGATTTTCTCACGACATCTTGTATTCTCCGGTCTTGAACATGTTAGCAATTGGGGGTGTCAGTGGCAATATTTAATTCATTATCAACCTACTAGAAAACCTACTTGGCGGACATGCATGACTGGCGGGCTTGTCAATACCCCCAAGAATTTGAGTTCTTACACCTCTCCACCGTAATAATAAAATCGCCATGGTCTACCACAGTACACCTCAAGAGAAGCGAGTCGAATAGCTCAGAGGGGTTGATGGACAATGCACTCGGTTCCGATTTCCCCAGAGTAGCTCTGTGGGCGAGGAATGGCTGTCAATCAGGATCTTCCTCCGCTGGACGTGACATCGCATGTACTTAATAAGTTAGTTGCTAACTACCAATAAGCTAACAGCGGAAACAGTCCCTGGCTGAGACTTCAGCTCCTTGACTCTCCCGCTGTCGACTGTGCATACCTTTAAACATGGCCATAACAACACAAGAGGAACCGATGCAAGAGCCCTGGGTCTCTATGGTCGATCCTGAGCGTCTAATCATTCACTGCAAAACATTTGGTGTAAGATATTCACCAGGGATACCGAGTATCTGTGGGCAGATAGCAAGGGTTATTGCCTGGGGGCTCCTGAAATAGCCTTGTACAGCACGCTGGCCACTGAGGTCGGGGTAATGACGCCAAAAAATGCACCTCTCCATGTGATTTGCTTACTGCCCTAGCACGGAGACTACAAGAAAACTGACAGTCTCGAGGAAAGAAGGCTAACAACATGTCGCAGCGGTGAAGATCGGCAAACGTACGATTCCTTTCTTCACCTTGTGATGAACACGATCCATCGCTTTACTTCTATGGGTTAAATATGACAGTACGAACAGATTAATCTGGAAAAATATATACCGGCGTAACCACTCGTAGACCTGGGCAGTGTTCATGCAATGATTAGGTGAAAGACGCTTGATAAACTCTAAAAACATTCGAGCGTGGATTCGTGTGCAGTATCAGGGGGAAAAAAGCATGTATTATCGTACTGTACCATAATTAAATACAATATGCTTTCCATCTACTACTCCATTTCCCGTGCTCGAGAAACGCCCTCGACGGCGGTGTGATTTTGACCTCCAATAGGTGCTCCACATTCAGGGCATCTAGCTTGCTCCATCGGCATACCGCATTCTCCAATAGCAAACTACAACAAGAATCATTTAGCTTATTTCGTCGAAGGTAACTTAGGACAGTTCGAGGAAGGGAGAATTTACTCACCGGATGTCCGTTGACGCAATTGTACCAGTGCCCAGAGTGAGTCGCGAGTCCTCCTCGTCCGCTAACCATAGCCGTCTTGATTGATTGAAGTTCTTCCAACGTGACTGTCTCGTATCGCGCGCCCTCGTAGAGACGGACCATCTCCTGGATCTTTTGTTGGAGCTCAGGACAGTTCCCCAGTTCGTCGCATAGTTTTAAAGCAACGGCGAGGAGATTATGGGCGGTTTGATAGCGATCTTCGAGCTTTTCTAGACCAGTTTTTTCTTTGAGATGTAGATCACTTGTTGTTTCTCCTGGATGCGAGCGGTGATACCACCTGTCCAGCTGCGCGATCTTGGCGAACGAGATGGTCGCCGTGATGACGATGCGGGAGAAATTTCCTTCATTGGCTTGAGTTATCAGGTCTTGGCAATCCTTTAGAACTTGAATCAAGGGTAATGCCGGTTTAGTGAATCTCAGCCGCGGTCGTGTTGCAGATTTTCCGCTTGAATCTACCGCTCTAAAGGCATCGCTCAACATGACTTCCTTGGACTTGATGTAAATTAGCCTTGCGCCGAGGGTGATTTGGTTGTTGGATTCTCGTGTTGCTATATCCATCGCCTCCATTCGGGCTGATAGGGAGGCTATTTCGTCCCTTGGTGACTTTTGGTGGATGGCAATCGCATCCATAAGCCGTTTCATCGGCTGATTCTCGGCCTCCATGGCTTTGCTGAGAGTTGATGCCTCCGTCCCAAGGCGCTCACAGGCTGCGTATCGTGCATTGAGCTGTAATTTAGTGTCACCCACGGACAACACCGCTGGCTCAGAGTTGAGCTTGTCTTCAATGTCATTCAGACGCGATTCAAGGCCTTCAAGGTCAGTGCGACCCTTGATAAGGAACCGCTTACAAGTCTCATCCATAACAGCCCGGTTGATAACACGATTGTAACGTTTCGTCACAAACTGGCGAATGGGCTGCTTACAGTCCGGGCACGATGGTATGGCACTGGCAAGAGAGGAAGAGATATCTTGGAGACCGTCAAAGGTTCCATTTTCATCTCTCGTGTATACTTCATCCAGGCCAACAAATCCATCAACCGATTCACTTGTAAAGAAGTGGCCGCATCCAAGCACGATGATTGGAGTTTCGTCGAGATTGATTTCGGAATAAGTTTTCCATTCGAGGAAGTCAACACGGGCATCTCCCTTGTCGCCGCACTCTTGACACAGATTGTTTGGACAATCTTCCCCGCAGAGGCTCGGGCATTGATGGCCGCATTTGAGAATCTTAGTGCATCGCTCATTGCAAGGCAGCCGATCGCATATTGCCGCGCAAGGCATTGAGCAGGAGCCTTGGTGTTTGCAGGACCACGTGCATTTCTCGATGCATGGTGCACATGCCTTTCCGCAGGTCAAGTCGCATGCTGAGTGTGAGCATCTAACCTGTACATATGATTAAAATCTCCAATACGATGGATGGCAAGATGGTGGATTCTAAGGATCTTTACCTCGCATTTTGCCTCGCAATAACCACAGCTCTCCTCATTATGACATATCTTGGGACACCTGTGATTGCAAACACCGTGGGGGCGGTCACATCTTTTCGTACACTTCGGGTGCTTAAATACTCTTCTTCCGTCATGGACTTCCTCGAGACAATTTCCGCAGCAATCGCTGCAGTTGTGGCCACAGCTGAGAATGTCGGTGCATGGCTTAGGGCAGCGGAAGGTTGGAGACGTGACATCCTTGAAACAGCCAACCTGAATTGTATGGCCACACTTAGGAACAGTCTTTTCGACCTTGACGTCGCATTTAATGACTTTCAAGTTTGGCATCTGATGGCAAAAGATAACTTTCTTGATATGACCACAAGGAAGCTCCACGTCTTGAATCTTCGCCATGCAAGGGCCACAATCTTCACCACAAAGCTTAGGACATGCGTGCTCACAAGTTGATCGGATACGTGGGCAAGGTTTCCCACATGCAAAGCTATCGTGCATGACCGCCGAATGGCACTTAGCCTGGCATTGATGACCACATGGGTCGAGTCGACGGATACACGGGAGACTGCACCCACCTTCAGGGCTCTTCCTCTCAAAGTCGTGAGGTTCGTAACAGAGAATGGGCGTGTCTGAGTGGCGAGGACAACAGAGAGCCAACTCCGTGCCGACTGCATTTGCAGAGGCGAGCTGAGAGTGGACACCGGCCCACATTGGGACATTGAGGTATGTTTCAGTATTTCCAATGAGATACATGCCGTGCTGAGCTCGACTGAGGAGCACATTGATGCGGTTTTCGGTGCGTAGGAAGCCAACCTTGCGCTTTGAGTTGCTGCGGACTAGGGAGACAACGATCACCTTTGCCTCCTCGCCTTGGAAGTTGTCGACGGTAGCAAGACGGAGCGTCTGGAGCAACGTCTTCTTCTCGAGTGACTTGCGACCGTTTGACTCAGGATATTCATCTTCAAACTTCTCAAGCCCATCTGCGGCCAAAGTCTCCAAGTCCCGCTCGCTGAGACAAATTTCGAAATCTTTGGATAGAGATGCTTTGAGCTTCCGCAGCTGCCCGGTATAGGGCGTCAAGAGGGCAATATCCGTGCTCTTGTACTCTCCCTGCCGAACAAGATGCCGAACAAGAGCAGTAGCCATATCGACCTCCCACTGGTTGCTATGAGACTTCACACGGCTGCCGTCATCCCTTGAATCTTCATCGTATCGATGGTCGAGCCAAAAGAGGTTGTTCCGCATTCCAACAACATTGGGTAGATTCGTCACGCTTTCATGATCCTCGAGTTTTGGATAGACGCTCCTGATAAGTTGCGAGATCTCAGGTCTCATTCTTCGCTGTACATTGAGCTGTGCTACAGGGGCTGGCTTGAGACCTGGTTCACCGACAGCACGTCTCTCAAACTGGCTTCTGTCTAGCTGCCATGTCTTTCCTGTGGATGTTTCGAGACTAAGTGAATGATTTTGAATCTGTGGTCGCAGCTGTCGATGATCCCCAATCTGAATGAAGTGTTCAACTCCTGGCATGAGGGCTGAGATGACGTGGGCTTCCATTACCTCAGCTGCTTCCTCACATATAACGACTTTTGTTCCTACTCGGCGTAGTGTCTCGATATGGCGTGCAAGGGCTGTGGTCGTGATTCCTACTACATCTGCTTGAATTAAGGCTCGGCGGTTGACCTCTTCATGAACCGCATTAATGTCTCCGCGAAGATTTGCAGCGCGATCAAGAGCCTCGAACAGCGAGGCGGTTTCAATTTCCTGCCATTGTTTGAACCAGCTCATGGCAAGTATCCGGCGTTCTGGCACCGAGAGACTGTAAATATTTTCATTCGCAGCGCGTGTGAGGCCTTCCAAGCGCACATCGTCAACTTCACTCTCATTCTGGTCTTTCTGGAGTTTCATCGATTTGGATCCTAGCCAGTTGAGTAATTTATCATCAGTGACAGTTGTGAATCCTTCCGTGTCTGGTCGCGCCAGTTGTTCATGTATAATGGGCCATTTTCGGTGCAAGAAATGCTGTATCGCGGTCCAAGACAGGCCTTTTTGAGACTGGTGTAGAGGTTTCATTGCATATCCAGCGCTCTTCATACAGTCCTCAAGTCTCCCATAGGACATACCGAGGGTTTGTGACTCTATCCTCGTCTTCCCAATGTGTTTACTGACAACGCGAAGGTTCTTGCCTTCAAGCTCAGTGGCCTGACTGCGGCCGCCAATGCGTATGATTTTCTGGATACCAACATCAAAAAGATGCTTTAAGAATTGGTCCAAGGCATGGTTGGTATAGCAGCTGTAATTCCTGTAAGTAAAGTACAAGAAGGTATGAAATTAGTACTCACATCACAAGAATTGGGCCTAGATTTGCCTTTTTCTTGATCTCAAGGAGAACTTGAACAAGTTTAACACCCAAATAGGATTTTCCGGTGCCTGGTGGGCCTTGAATGAGGGCATACTCTCGTGTGAGAGCCGCGATAAGTCCCTGGCACTGGCCATGGTCGAGACCCGTTTGAGTTTGCAGCCTCAAGAGGTCAATAGCCTCTGGGGTATTCGGGTTCAATGCAACCTTTTCAGCTCCAACATTTGTGATCGAAGTCAGGGGAAAGACAAATCCTGGTTTGCGTGCGTATGCTGGTGGGGGTATGCTGTGACCATCTTCACTATCCTTACGGCCTGGCAAGATCCATTTTTTAAATGCCAACTCTCCTTCGCGTTGGATTCGCTGAAGGTTTTTCAGAATAGGGGCGAACGTGGCAGGGATCAAGCCATGGAAGTCGACCAGAATACCGGTAAGCTTCTTGCTGTAAAGCTGGCACAGGAGAAGCAGTTCTTGCTGTAGGCATGCCGCAAGCTTGACCGTAATACTAGGCGGAAACTTATCAGAAGCAAGACTACTCTTGTTCTGGTGCGCTCGGTCCTTGGAAGCATTCTTCACTGTGACCTCGAGGAATATAAGCCTCCCGTGGGTTCCTTGGGACGTCAAGAAACACACTAGGCTTCCTTCCTCTAGTCGATTGGAGTCTTGCCACCATCTGCATTGCTCGTTGGATGTCTTTTTGCGGACTTGAGGCGGAGTGGCAAAGGACACGGTCGCTTCGAGCTCATTTTTTTCATTGATAAATATTTGGGGGACCTGTGCCCCCAAATATATATGTGTTCCGTTATCTTTGCTCGAGAAATGTGAAAATCGCGTCAAATCATCCTGCTGCAGCAGATCTCGAAGGGCATCTTTGGCCGAGCCGAAGATATCATGGCGCAGAAGTCGGAATGTTGAGTCAATATATCTTTGCAAAGGATCGGGGAGAAAGTGCGGCTGAAGGAAGTTGGTAGAAGGTAGATATTCTGAATTTCCGCTGACAATCTCTCCATGGGTAGGAAGGATCTGAACTTGAGAGATTTCTGCAAGGTCGTTGTCGTGTCTCCCACCAGGTGTTTGCATATCCAGCGGAAAAGACGAATGGGCTGATACTCTCTTCTGATGATTTTCCTCATGCGCCCTGGGTGTAAAAAGACTGCGGTTTGCGCAAGCGATCAGGCTTTGCATGACTTCTATTCTGCTTTCAAATCCGTCAATGTCAGCCTTCGAGCATGTTTCGACTTGGGAGCCCACTTCACGGATTAAGTCGAGCAGCGCGGGAATTTCATCGTGAAACCGAGCGAGTCGGACTCTTGACAAAAGTTGGTACAGTGTATTCAACAGCAACTTCATCATGTCCAGAGAAATGACCGGTACATTTTCGTTGATCTCTTCTCCTTTACTCATCAGGGTTCGGCAGACATTTCTCAGATATCTGATTGCTCGATCGCCATTCGTACCACCAAAAGATGTGTACAGCGTGCCAACAAATGAATCGACAGAAAGACAGTTCAAGAGAGAGGTATGGGTAATGACTTTAAGGAATGGCTCGTCGTAACTTGGAATAAGTCGCACTTTCTCTGGATTGTCTGTATCCGCGGTTGCTAGGATAAACTCATATCCATGAAGATTGTCGTCCACAAGATCTTTGGCGAGGAATTGATGATTCTCTCTGCTATCGCTTTCAAGAATTTCAAGAGCGCCGTTCCAGAATTGGACAATCTCTTCATGTTCCCGTGGAGAGGATCCAGACCCTAAGATCCCATTTCTAAGAAGTCTCTTCCAGTCGAAGTATTGATTCCGAGTGTCCAGATCATGAGTTGTGGGATGGTATGCAGCCGGGTTTGACTTGAAGTCGGCAGCCTTATTCAAATCGTGCGAGAATCTGCATCTTTCACCGTAGTGGCACCTGCCACGTTGAAAGTGCACACAGGATGTTTCCGACTGATTGCGCTTTCTGAAGCTGTTGGGTCGTCCGCGGTTGCTCATATTACCTCGGAATCGCCCATTATTGCGGTGAGCCATCGTGAAAGGCGACCTAATTGTAGAGTCTGTAGCTCTGGTGATATTTAAAGCAGTATAAATATCTCTAACGCGGAAATCTGCATGCATGGGTGGGTGGATCTGATTGTCCGGAGAAGGGGAAAATAATCTAGGATACGCCCAGCAGGTACGCTTTTTGATAAGAGGGACGCAAGTAAGACTGCCTTGTACTTTGTATACCTGACGTGTCTTATCATCTTGCAGGACAACTCATACCTGCATCACCCCTCTTTCAGAATCTCTTTACCTACAGTTTGTAGGGGCAATTTCCAATACTTGCCTTTTATCTCCGCTCGCTTTTTGGCTCAGAATTATCAAGGAGGGTTGGATGGTTGGTGGGAGCTACCAAAATCAAGCGATGGCTTCCCATCATCCGTCATCGGTGTGTTTGGTGGGGAGGAGCGCGGAACGAAGTTCATTTGAGTCTTCGCGTCGTGGTTTGGTAAGTAAAAGACCGTACGATAAAGTGGCATGCAGGATGATAATGGCTCGATTGGCTGACAAGCCTAGAGTGAGGATTGTAATCCTTGTCAGCAAGACATAACCTAATGCGGAATTGATTGAGCTCACCCCCAAACATGTCTTAGACTGAAATTGGTTATGCTCGATTCCAGCAACGCAAACATTCTTCGAAAGGTGCGCTTTTCTGGCTGCTCATGCTAGAGCGGAAGAGAAATGCCTTTTAAGTAGCCTTGCGTCACATGGAAAGACATGAATGAGGATGTCCTATAAGGTTGTTCTGAATCGCGAACTTCCAAAGTATTCTTTAAGTTCGGGAGAAGGCCCTCGACCACGGCAAAGTGGGGAAATGGTGGTTCTTTGGAAGGCTGATTGGATACGACTGTTTGGCGGTTTGGAACAACGACCGCATGAGGCGTTGAGCGGCTTCAGCTTTCTGACGTTAACGCTTGTTGCCAATCACTGTGTATTGTCAAGAAGGTCACCAAGTCATAAATCCTGGTAAGACTGCTCTCAAGTAGAAGAGGGGAACATTGAATATCCAGTTGATATTACGTAGTATCCAAACGATTGGTACTAACCTATCATTCAAAGATCGAGGCGATAGACAGGCAAACAGAATGAAAAATATCTCGATTACTTGACATCATTATCGGGGCACGTTCGTATTGCCTCCATTAAACTGTCTTGAAATGCTATGGAGGTTTTCAGCTCTTCTTCCAACCTGATCCGATAGCTTTCGCTTCGGATGTCGGACATCTCATTGAACATGCAACGGCATTTATGTCTTGCGCATTCGGAGTACGGGTCTTCGAAATTGCACTATTGGAGGAGAAGCGAATAAGAAGCTGCGAAACGATACACTGTTGCCAGTATTGCTTACCTTTGCTCGGCGACATTGACACTCTTTGCAAGAGGTCGATGATCGTCGGCCCGGAGCGTCTTGTTTTGAAGCTCTGGTGTCCACTCCTTGAACGGTCAGGATTTCTTAAGGGTTGCGCGAGGCCTACTGGTCTGAGAGTGTGGAGTAGACATATTTATAGATAGAACAAGTGATGTAATATATGTGGTACTGTTATCAGAGAAGGTCGGGTAATGTAGGCGACTGCCTCCTGACGCTCGGCGCCCTGTTTAAGCCCGAGGACAGAGGAATGGAGGCTGTTTGAGGAAGGGCGGGGAAGGGAAGGTGGGTTGGGGGCATTGATGTAGTTTGCGTCGTACGGATCATTACTGTAATTTTAGTATTCAGCACAGAGTACTGTACAGTGAGGGCTCAAGGAAAGAAAGTGTGAGCGTCTTGGGGGGAAATCTAATTTTAATTTCGAAATTGACAGTACGTCTTCGGAGACTTCTTATGCCGGGATTTCAGTACTAAATACGGTGCCGAGCTACGGAGAAGTACTGCTCGGACCGTGCTCCGATTTGCTATTGAGCAGTTGCTGGACACAGGCGTTCGACTAAGTTACCGATCACGTTACCATAAGTTAAGTTCTTTCTCCAACTAAACAGGACGTATTCGTAGTAGTTACTAAACACTTACTCAATACTTTATTGAGAAAACTCTAATGATATGAGAATAAATATGTAAGAAGGCCTGGTCGGATGCTGAGCACTTCTTCCTTGTATCGGCCGAGAAAAATCTCTCGATCAGAGATCCCCTTGGTAAATGCACTCGTTATCAGTAACAAACCATTCTATCCAGGACCTTCTGCTCACTTGGAAGGCATCAGCACTCCGCCATCATACCGGTGATGATCGCTACAGAGGACCGACCTCTGGCAGCGGCTGCTCATTTCTATCCATCGCCCCTTTGCCTGGGGATTCACGGAGCCTATCATTATCTTCATGTCGCTTTATCTAACGATCATTAATATCATTCTTCTTCTGTTTCTGGAGGGATATCCCTTTATCTTCACCGATGTCTACGGCTTTTCGGAAGGTAAAGAGAACCTCGTATGGGAACCATAATCGTGGCCGTCCAGGTTCCAGCCGTCTGGTCCTGGACCATCAAAGAATACAGGCAGCTGAACAGGATCCGGCCAGAGACCAGGCTCTGGTTTGCGATGCTGGGAGGGGCGCCAGCTATCCCTGTCAGCCTATTTTGGATGGCATGGACCAGCCGTGAAAGTATCTTATTTCGCCCGGTGAAGTCTAGGGTCCGTGTGTGACCAGGATCGAACTGACCTCTGTCTCATCCAAGGTATCCATCAGTGCATGGTCCCCGACCATCGCAACCGGCCTTTTCGGCTTCGGCATAACCACGGTTTTCGTCAGTGCTCATATGTATGTCATCGATTCGTATGTAAAGCATTCTGCATCGGCGCTGGCGATGCTAGTTCTGTCACGGTACTTGGCTGCGGGTGGCATTACTGTCGCAGGCAATCCGATCTAGTCCAGCCTAGGGGTGCCGTATATACCCTTACGGCGTTGGGTTCGGTGAGTGCTGTGAGGGGACTCAGCCCCTATATCTTTTATTATCAAGGGGCTCGGATACGGTCTTGCAGCAAGCATACTGTTTTGCGTGATTGAATCAAGGCCCCCATCATATCCACAGTGTATATGGCCCGGGTCCGGGGAGGAGCAGGAGTGGGAAAATCAGCATAGAAAGGACAGTAATCGACATCCGAGGAGCTCTGGCAGTAATTCGATCGATTCCTCCAGAAGAACATATAGCGTCCTCGACTAGTCATACCGCAGTCAGTATGCTTGCGTTTTATGCACCGGATAGAAGGAGAGATTTATCCATCCATGTATAACTATCATACTCCTAGACATCAACTTTGACCATAAACTAGAAGAAATTAAACCTCCAGAACAAACCTCGACAAGCTGAATAATCTTTATTGAACAATTTACCCTACTTAAGCGGAGCTGAGCTGAGGTAGTCTCCAACTGCCGTAATGGGTAGCAACCGGCCAAGGCCAGGCCCGAGAAGATGAGGCGAAGACGACGGCGGGAGAAACATGGAACAAACGAGCCCTTATCGATAAGGGCAAACGGTTCGATTTCGTCACTGCCGCCAAGCTTCTCTGCGATTCCATCATGGAACGCGCCAGGAAATTCTTCCTATACTGCTGCACGACCTGAGCTCAAACTCCAGCACTTGATAAATTATGCATTGAAAACCTCCTTGATCTGCTGTCTTAGTACGGCTTGTACATTTGCATCAAACTCTCTATCTCAGCAAATCTTTTATGCCTCTGTCCCTTCAATCCGCAACCACCTGACACCTCCCCTCCTAGTCACCATGTTTTCCGTCATCATCCCCGGCCGACCCTGCCTGACGGACATCGTCGCCGTCGACGGCCAGCCCAACGGTCAACCCACCAAATTTGCCTTTACCTTCCCGCAGACGCCCGCCTTCGACGAGCTAGTCGTCTTCTTCCTCCCAGGCACCGTGCTGCCCCCGGACACCGCCGCCGCCATCTACCTCCAATTCCCGGAGTCGACCGCCGCTGCCCCGCAGTTCCGCTTCATCGGCGCATTAGCCAACGAACGGCCCTCCGCCGTCTTCAAAGTCCACCCGCCTTCCCCGGAAATGGCGTCCTCGCTATCGTCCGCGATGGTCACGCTGGGAATCTCGATCGAGCCCGTGCAGGCCGTCGCGCCGCAGCTCGCCGCGCTGGAGGCGGAGGAGACCAACAACAACCCGGGGTCATCGATGGCGCTGACGACCGCCACGCGACCACCCATCAGCACTAAGGTTCTGGCGCAGCGGATCATCGGGAATGCGTTCAACTTCCTGGCGAGCTTTGCGTCCTCGGATAAGGGCCAGGATGTGGTGCCGCTGAAGAGCTTTCAGGATTGGTGGAAGAAGTTTGAGAGGCGGGTGGATATGGATCCGTCGTTTTTGGAGAGGGAAGATCCGACAGCTACGGGCTGAGCGGTGCAGCACAGCATCAGGGTGGGGACTTGTGGACTTCGACCACGGGAATGAATTTAGGGGCATTTTCGCTGGGGTTGACGGGTTTTGTGCATGCGCTTGATACCACGCTTTGTGTTGCAATGATACCATTTTACCTGTTTTTTTCAGGGTTGAAAACTTAATAGAAAAAATTTCGGCTGTATTGAGTCAATCTATAGAAACTGTCTATTGGATCTATGTATCGCAAATCACCACGCCCGAATTCGAGTCTAAATAGGGCGGAGCGTCAATCTAACCGGCTAAGTCGAGTTATAACTATCTAGACTCAAGCACGAGCTTCAAAAAAGCCACCGTGATCGCCACCCCATCATGCGGTAGTCCCGCCCGGCTGGACGCATCCTTCGACATCTCCGGCGAGAACAACCCACTCGCCGTGCGCAGCGTGATCAGCTCGTCCATGATATCCTCCCGGAACTCCGGGTGGCCTTGCACGGTGATCAGTTTTCGGGGCACATACATGCCCTGTACCGCGCACTGCGGCGAGGCGCCCAGCGAGATCACCTCGGTTGGATATCCGTAGGCGATGTCTTGGTGCATTTGGTGGATGCGCTAGTAGCCAGCCCACATATCAGTAAACCACGCACATTGGGAAAAGGTGCCAAACTTACCAATTTCTCCTTGCCGAAGAGCTCCCGCCCCTGCTCGGAGAGATCCACCTCGCAGACGGCCAGCTCCCAGCCCTGCGGGTTCCGGCCCACCTTGACCCCCAGGGCGCGGGCGAGGATCTGGTGCCCGAAGCAGATGGCGAAGATCTTGATGCGCTTGTCCTCGTAGGCCTTTCGCGTGAAATCTACTAGCTTGAGGATCCAGGGGTGGTCGGCGAAGGAGTCGTGTTCTGTGGGTAGTTAAATGCCGGGGTTTGCGTGTGAGTCATCTGGATTTTGCAAAGGCCGGGAGGGGTTGTTGTTGTAAGGTGCATGGTGCATGGTGCATGTTTGCCCCGTGTAGGAAGTAAATGCAGGGCAGGGGGCACAGTATGCGAGAACAAAAAAGTACGGGTGAAAAAGCAAGGCAGGCAAGGCAGAAGAAACTCACTTGAGCCACTCAGAACGATAGCATCTACAGTGTCCAGGTTTGGATACTCCTGGGCCGTCACGACGTCCCAGCCGGAAATGTCCAGCCCGGACTCGGGGTCCAGTCGGTCGGGCTGGCCGAGTGCGGCGGCGCTTTCATGCAGCAATTTCGCGAAGACGCCGCGGTAGCCCCCGTACTTGGTATTTACTTTGTCGACGGGGGTGTCGCATTCTAGGATGGCGATGCGGAGTGGTGGGTGCATTGTAGATGGGATGATGGAGTATTTCGATGGTCTGAAGATTGCAAGATGCAGTGTTGGCGATGAAATGAGTTTGAAGCACAGTTAGAAAGAAGAGTGTCTGGGATGAACCGAGTGAAGATTGAACTTTGATATAGCTGTCGGGAAAGTAGATGATTGCGGGGTGTTCTATGGAGACGAAGCAGTCCACCGAGTCCGCCACCGCCTTGCTGTTCTGGCCACGGATAAGCTTCCCCTCTTATCGGTGGGGGGCCTTGGTCTCCTCTATACTCGAGAAAATGATATCGCATACCGCTTCTGATTCTGAGTTGCACCATGACGGTCAATGTTTTATCAAGTCGATTCATAATGTAGACTGCACGAACCCGAAGACACCATGACTTGGCTTTCGCAAAGGCTAGTACTCCAAGCCAAGCACGTCTCCCCAAACAGTGCTCTGTGGCGCAATGGAGTGCACCTCGAAGAATGAGCAGCACATTGCCCCTCTCAATGCTATATTCGTCCTTGCCAACTGTCCTGAAAAATCCAAACGTCTATCGCTGTAGGATGAAGATGAATTATCTGCCCTGTCTATACTTGCTGTGCATCCTTGTTGACATGTCGTTCACTAGAACTTCTTATGCCTGCTTGGTGACTAACATGCGGACAAGCCACTGGAGCGTATGCATTGCAGCTAATCCTATTGATGGCGCAACTCTCACAGTGGTCGCAAGGTTGTTTCTTCGAGATCTTGGAAATGTTACACAGCGATCGTCATCGGAACATTTGCGGCACATAAGTTTCTGGGCAGGGGGACGTCCAACAATAGGCGTCTCTCGCAGTCTATGTACATGACAGAAATACCTAAAGCTTCAGCGGTCACCTTCCTATATGAGACGGGGCTGATAGTCTGTTGAGTATGCGCTGTTTGTGCGATGCTCCAATAATGATTTCACATCATAAGCTTGAAAGTAGACAGAACACTACAGTCCAGCGCTGTCCGGGGCTTGATCTCCAGCCTCTTGTATGACCTGAGTGCCCATATTATGCTCTCGGACAAAGGTTGTTCGATCTGCTGTAGCAAGGGTCTCCCTGCATCGGTACGTGAGTGAGGACCAATCTTAGATTCAACGTGGGATATTTCGCGTAGAGGTAAAGCGTAGGTACAAGCTGACCCAGACACGCAGTGCAGTACAGTTAAATCATGCACCCTACTCCGATATATCAATACTAGCTGACTGCACCACGGCCAACTCGTTGGTATCAGAATTGGGGTCCGGGATGTAGGTGTACCACCCACAGTTCCTCGAATTCCATTGTCCAGAAGGATTAGAACTGAGATTTGGGCATGGTGTTCTGAACCACTAATGGTCTGTTGACAGAAACCCGTAGGACTCCATCATAAGTCTAGGGATTAAGGTTCGCAACATACTGGGCTACAGATGTCCTGTTAGTCTGATTTTAAATCGTTCTGGCACATAGCTAGCAAATGTTCCGGATGCCCTAGTTATTTCTTGGCCCTATCAATCCCTCTTTGGTTGCACGATAGCCTACTAGGGTGGACTATATGGCCTAGGCTTCCTCATGCCTTCCCTTCTTCGAGGCTGGTATCGCTGCTTCCCGATTCTCACAAATCCCTTTACCTACAGCTGATATACACGTCACCTCCCACATTTTCTAACCTCAATACCTTAACAACTCATTCCACAACAAACCTACGGCAGGAGAACATCACTGAGGCCCATCGAATATCGGGTCCACTGGAAAATGAACATCCTAATTATCGGAGCTATTTTACTCAGCACCCTACTCAGATCCTGTCTTGCACAATCTGCTCGCAACCCCGATCTCTGTGTATGTCTCCGCAATCATCTTTTACTAAGCTGATAGCTCATCTCATTAACTGCTTCGGCTACCCTATAGTGTGCAGCTCTCAACACCAGCACAATCGGTAGCAGAGTAGCCTTCCCCGGTAGTGTTGCATACGAACAGTCCCTCTCTTCCTACTACTCCCTCAACGCCCGGCTACACCCCACCTGCATTGTTCAACCTCTTTCAGCACAGGATGTTTCCGTCGCTGTTCGAAGACTGACTACGTCGACTGCGGCACCGTGTTTGTTCGCCGTTCGCAGTGGCGGCCACACGCCAACCGCTGGCGCGGCCAACATCGAGCCCGGAGTTACTATTGATCTCTCGCTCATGAATCGTACTACATATGACCCAAGTACAGGCACTGCTTCAATCCAAACTGGAGCTCACTGGGGTTCAGTGTACAACACTTTGCTGAAAAGTAACGTTACAGTTGCGGGTGGCCGTGTAGCGCCGATCGGAGTCGGGGGCTTCCTGACCGGCGGGGGGCTTTCGTTCTACGATGCGCGTGTTGGTCTCAGCTGCGACAATGTTCAAAGCTTTGAGGTGGTCATGGCGAACAGCGAGATTGTCTATGCCAATCGAAACTCACATCCCGACCTTTTCAAGGCTTTGAAGGGGGGCTCCAATAACTTTGGTATTGTGACCACGTTTGACATGGAAACCTTGCCTGCAGAAGATCTGTGGGGTGGCCTTCTTGTGTACAATGTCTCCAACACTCCGGAGTATATCTCTGCAGCGACAGATTTCACCGATAGAATTCCCACCGACCCTCATGGTGCGTGGTATGGCATTTTCAACTACAACGGCGCAATGGATCGGACTGATATTGTCGCTATGTTGGCTTATACAAGACCCGTGATGCGGCCTGCGGTATTTCAGAAATTCTACCAGATTCCTAATATCACGGATACAACCCGGATATCTACGATTGTGGACCAGACCAGATATGCTTATATACCTTACCGGTGAGGCTCCTCTATTCCCAGGCACTGTCATACAAGCTCAGTTGTTAACTCATATCTACCTAGCATCGACGGTCAAACTAGCACCTATCTTAACAGAGCCGACATAATTCATCAAGCCGTCCAAGTCTTCTTCAAGCAAATCCACAGAACAAGATCTCGAGCCCGAAGCAAGGACTTTGACATTGTCTTAGTGGTGCAAGCCTGGGTTCCTCTTTTCTGGAAGGACAGCGAGGCGCGAGGAGGGAACGCGCTTGGATTGGAACGATTCAATAAAAATATGCTCAGTGAGTTATACTGCCTTCTTCCTCCCATCATCCCTTCTCGCTCCTGCCGTACCCTCTTAGTGCATACTAATCGTGCATAAACGATGCAACAGATATCATCATCAGTTACGCATGGAGCGACAAGGCTGATGACAGCCTCTTTCATGACCTCGCTGGATCTGAGCGGGCAGAGCTAGACGCATACGCTCGTTTGACAGGTGCATATAACGAGTACATCTATCTGAACTATGCCGGACGCACCCAGGACCCTCTTCGTGGGTATGGACCGGACAATGTGAGATTTATGCAAGCGGTCGCCAGGAAGTATGACCCCGAGGGAGTGTTTCAGCATCAGGTCCCGGGCGGATTCAAGCTCTCCCGAACTCACGGGCTTGATTGATGGGGGTTTCTAGGGTTAGAAATTACTGAAAGAAGTCAAGTGTCGCGTGATAATTATATAGCGGGCGCGGGAGGGTGCTCTTGGAAACAGCTTGTATAGGCCGAGAGTTGCATACATGCACTTAATTACCTACAGCTGCGACGATAGCACTTGTGATTCGCCTCTGTGTCGTAATTTGTACCTCCGCGACCGCTCAAGCACGAAACTACTTATCATACATGGTCTCCGGGCCAATACCATTCATCTGTAAGTTGTTCTTTTGAATTTGAAAAGATTGAGAAAAGAATTCAAGCTTGCGCTGCAGGTGAAAACTTAGACATCTCATGGAACAAGCTGGTTGATATGCAGGTCGCCCTGAGAAACGGAAGTGATGGGGTAATCTGACCTTGACGAGGCTACACCTGGCACAGCTGGACCTCACTCAGCAGCAGAATGGGCGCGTGTTGACCCAGCGACCCTTGAGGTTCAGACTTCTGTTTTCCATGAGAGATGAGAGCCGAGATAACCAGGCCCAAATCTAAAAAGTACCGGCAATGGCAGCGGAGCCCCAGCGACTAAGCCTAACCCGGGTTAACGCGCGATGCAACATCTGGGTCGGATGACTCCATCTCCAACAAATCATACTTCAGGTGCATCGACCGACATCGGGTCTCACCTATAACCATGCATCTAACTTACTGCATACTACATTCGGCACATTGCACACTGCATCCTGTCTGCACGAGGCATTTAATGCTCTGTTACCGGATATCCTGATTATAACAAAGACCCTGCCAACCACTAACCAGATAGGTAGGTGAGCTGAGCTGCAACTTGCAAGGCCAAAAAATTCGATCTAGCGGCAGCTGGTGGAGCTCTTCCGAGGCCCCCTTCCTTTCCCCTCTTTTTCTTGTCCCAGATTGACGTTGGAGGCCGAGTCATAGTCATTATCTCGACTATCGACCGAGTATTCCTCCGTCTGCAGTCATATTTGTGGGCTAGAGCGCTTCCACCCGTCGACTCACTCAGCCTTCACCACCCGCCCCGTGCACTACGATGGATCCCACCTGCGCCGTGCATCCTTAGCTTCTCTTCTCTCCCCCCACCTGCTAGAAATCTCTCTCCTTCTATAAATTTCATTGTTATCGGACCCTATGATTCAGACTGCTTTGCAACCCTCGTCTGGCTGCCATTTCTCTTTTTTTTCCTTGCACAAAAAAGTTTTTTTTCTGGGTTGTTTCTGCTTCCATGAAAAGTTTTCAGCTATCTTGTTTTTGAAAGTTCTTTGGGCATAAAAGATTAGATTCATATACACACCGTCTCCTGGTGACCATGACTGTCTCCCGTGTGGCCTCTGATGCCACTGAATCAACACCGCTTCTGAATGGCTCACCATCCCAGCCGATTTACACACACACGCACGATGCTGGAAAAAACGGGGCTGATTCAAACTTATTATCCTCTTCCTTCACCGCCGAAGACAGCTCCGCCTTTCTCGGCCTGACCAGAGTCACCTCAATTCCCCAAGGGCCTGATATTGAGCCTACCCTAGAAACAATTCCTCCAGCACCCGAAGATGATATCAAAGACAACGATGATCCGGAAGCGGGTCAGAGACAAGAAGCTGATGATTATGCCTCTCGCTTCATCAACGTGTCTCCCATGCGATTCTGGCTCATCTTCGGTGGAGTATTGATGGGGTACACCATCGGATTCTTTGATTCCACCCTGATGGCTTCCAGCCACCCGGTCATCACGTCTCACTTCCATGCCTCGAACTCGGCATCATGGCTCTCGACGGCGTTCTTGTTAACATCCACGGCTTTTCTACCGCTATTTGGCCGCATCTCCGACACCGTGGGCAGGAAGCCCGTCTACCTCTTTGCCATCGCGGTTTTCTTCGTTACCACGGCGTGGTGTGCGGCGGCCCAGAGTATGCTGAGTTTCATCGCCGCTCGTGCGTTCTGCGGCATGGGCGCCGGTGGCGTCTTTTCTATGGGAATGATCCTGTCTAGTGATCTGGTTCGCCTGGAGTACCGAGGAGTCTACCAGTCCTACGTTAACCTCTGTCTTGGTCTGGGAGGCTTCCTCGGCCTTGCGTTCGGCGGTTATCTATGTGACCAAGTAGGCTGGAGAGGTGCATTCTTGGTACAACTACCCTTCATCTTCATTTACTTCATTGTAGCCGCCTGGACGGTGCCTGCCGACCTGGGGAGGAAACGAGCCAAGACGGAGCGTCTGACCTTCATGGGCTTGCTCAGGAACATTGACCTTGTGGGATCATTGCTTTTGGTGCTCGCGGTCACGGCACTCATTATGGGACTCAACCTGGGCGGCAATATCTTCAGCTGGACTCATCCTATTGTCGTCTCCTCGCTGGTATCTTTCGTGGTTTTCGCGGTTTTGTTTGTCCGCTATGAACGTACTGTGGAGCGGGGAGTCATGCCGATTTCGCTGCTGCTGAAGGAGCCGCGTGCCAGTCTCATTTTCGGGAACTTCTTCGGCGCGATCTCGGTCAATACCATGGTCTTCAACGCTCCCCTGTACTTCCAGGCAGTCAAGCTGGCCTCGCCTACAGACTCTGGTCTCAGGCTACTTGCTTCTACGCTTGCAGTGACGACTTCTAGTGTAGCGACCGGGTTCTTGATCACGCGGACCAAGCAACTGAAGCCGACGGTGATGATTGGCGACATTTGTATGCTTATCGGAGGTATAGCGGCCACCACCATGGGGGTTGGGACTCCGGATGTGATTGCCATGTTGTGCGTGGCCTTGACGAGTCTGGGACAGGGGTTCGCGTTCCCTTCGCTGATGGTCTCGGTGCTCGCAACCTCCGAGCAAGAGGACCAGGCCGTGGCTACGACGACGCTAGGGCTGTGGCGCAATCTCGGATCTGTTATGGGCGTGGCAACGAGCAGCTGGATTTTTCAGAACAGCCTGCTGTACGAGCTCGACGAAAGGGTTACTGGCACCAACAAGGCCGACATCATTCTACTTGTCCGCAAGTCTGTGCAAGCCATCGCCAAGCTGGACCCCCTCAGTCAACACCAAGGTAGGTCGATTGACGTCTAACACCGATTGTCGGACAGACTACTAACATTTCTGCAGTGATCGGGGCATATGCCGCCGCACTTCAAGTGACGTTCTTCTCCGCTGCCGTGTGGGCTGCACTCATGCTTCTGCTTCATCTCCGGGTACGCCTGCCCAGGCTAGGAAGCAAGGCATAAGCGATCCATCGAGATTCCAGCCTGGATGATCGGTGCGGTGAAGTGGTGTGCGAAGACTGATTCTTCGCTGATGACGAACGAGTAGATCCAGCCGTTCACTACTGCTGGCCGTGACTGCGAAGTCCGATAGATTCTGGGATCATACCAATCATATGAATGATTCTGGACGGTGATATACCCATTCAAAAGCATGTTGCATATCAAATAGGCACTAGAAAATAGCGAATGTTTTTTTACAGATAGAAATGTAGTTTGTGTTTGTTGGATCCGGATTTCCGCAGTTGCACCGGAGTGTTGGCACTAGACCATTTGGGGTTAGCTCTCCATGCCACAGGCAGACCGACTTCCCCCGCAAATCTTTCGAGATCGCCGGCCGGCTTCCCTTTCATCCATTTATCCAGACACCCAGAGACGCTGTGGGCTGCATTTCATTTGATGTTCGTACTCGTCCACCTGTTGAGAGTTACTTTAGACTCCATGTTCAATCCCTGTATGCTGACATCTGTTAATCAGATTAGTGTTCTCCACACGGTTTCCGAGCCTCACATCAGCGGCCGATGCACATGCATCCAACTTCCAGGACCCGGTCATTTGTGAATCTTCTCTTTACAGCACACTGTCGCCGGTTGCCCCGTCCCTCCCTCCGAGCTACCGCTGCCACATGTGAATCTGGTGCGCGGATTAGGAATAGCCTTCACGGCGGCCGTCGATATTGTCACCATGCAGAGTCATCGTCTCTGGGGCTGAATTTGGGGCTTGTAGATGATCGCATCGGGACACACTGAACTACCTCCAGCCTAGTACGGGCATCATTCGATCAAGCCGGCCTGCTATGGCCTCTACAGTCGACAATCACGTCTTGCCGACACTGGATCTCGACATCGTGCTGGACCTGACGGATCCTGGGACTGTTGCGGATATTCCCGACCTGGAGTTGGATGACCAGAACCCCTTCTTAGCGGCCGAAGTCACCACGCAAGGGACTACTCCGACCCCTTCCGACGAGGGCGGGGTCTCGACCCCGAACAGCGCTTCGGTGAACACACCACGCACAACGGCTAGCCGCGGCCGACGGAAGGGCAAGGTTGCGACGAAGCCGCGGCGAGTCCGGACTGGCTGTCTGACCTGTCGAGAACGGCATCTGAAGTGCGACGAGGCCTTGCATCAATGTCAGAACTGCCGCAAGTCGGGCAGAATCTGCAGGCGTGGCATCCGCTTGAATTTTATCGATACCCAGACCGCGACACCGCCGCACTGCGTGGTCCGTCTACAGGGGAAAGGGATTACTTTTCGCGATGAGTCTCGGATCATCGCGTCGGAATACGTGGGCGGATTTGAGAGGTACCCTCCGCTTGTCGCTGAGGATGCAGAGCCTCATGGCATGGCGGGGTCGTTGAACTCGCACACGCCCGCCACGGCGAAGGATGGCTATCTGCAAGGGTTCGGGAATGCTCAGTCCGACAATATTGGCGCGTCACTCAGCGGTCTTGCTCATTCGGCCTCGTTGTTTCCAGACCCAAGTACCTCGTATGCCCCCTTTCGGTCGACACGGCATGGCCATATCAACTCGACCAACCATACGTGTCTCAACAACCCAGAGGAGGTCTTTCTGCTGCAAGTGTTTGTGGAAGAGGTTGGGCTATGGATGGACGCCATGGATGCGGTAAAGCATGTGAGTTTGGGTATTGTGATGTTGGTTCTGGCACGTAGCTGACCCCGCCAGTTTACCCAGGTATTACCATTTCATGCGTTAGAGGAGCCGATGCTCTTCAAGGCTATTTTGGCCTGTGGTGCGCGACATCTGTACCATGTGAATTCATCTTACGGAGAGCAGAAGGCCGCACTCTTTCATGACGAAGCTTCCCAGTATCTTCTACGGTCCCTGCAGGACCCGGATCGCGACTCAGCTTTGTGTGCTACAACCGCCATCCTTCTGAATATCTACGAGCTGATGTCGGGTCGACCGATCCAGGGCATGAGCCATATCGCCGGAGCTCGAGCCTTGATCAAGGAATGCAATTGGGATGCGAAGACCCCTGGACTCGGGGGCGCGTGTTTCTGGTTGAACGTTAGCATGGAGCTGATCAGCTGTCTGCACTTCAACTGGGCGCTCTCTTGGAACCCGGATTCCTGGGGTGTTGATTTGGAGTTTGACCAGGCCCAGCCGAGTGTGGCAGGCAACGAAGAAGCCTGGACCCACAAGATGGTCTTCATTTGTGCCAAGGTCGCGAACTTCCGGTCATCAATGGGCCAGGATCAGGGTGTGGACGAGTCACTCAGTGACGCACGGGTGAGCCAGCGATACCAGGAGTGGTGTATGTATAACGAATGGTGCGATCAATGGGTTCGGGCTGTGCCACGGTCTATGATGCCGGTCGGCTATCTTCATTCCTGGCAGACGAACTCCAAGTCCGTCTTTCCGGAGATATGGTGAGTTTCTGTTTTGACCCCTATGTTTTGTGTTTCAGACTGACTCGAGAAGGCTCATCAAACGCTCTACAATCGTGGCTCAACTGCTATACCACACCACTCGCATTTTGCTGACGAAAACGAACCCCCTCGAGTCCGAGTTCAGCGCGGAAATGCAGACCGTTCAGCAGGGCCATGCGCGAGACATCTGCGGGATTGTCGCCCACTCGAAGGATCGGTGAGTTGAAGTCACAATTTCATTATTGCTGAACTCCACAATCTAATCTTTCCTGCAGGGGCGTAGCGAGTCTATCCATCCGATTTCTAGCCATCGCCGCCGGATGTCTCGTGACGCGCGAGGCGCAGCACGAGGTCTTCGAGATTCTGGATAATATCATCAAGGAGACGGGGTGGCGGACGGAGAACGTCAAGAACGAGCTGCAGGCGGCGTGGGGCTGGAGCAGCCACCACGGCCCACCCATGGCGACGTCGGAGGAGATCGTGGCCATGTTTGGGGACGGCAGCGATCATCAGGCCCTGCGGCCGAGCCACCTTCCGGCGCCGGAGTCGAAGATCGTGGGGGCGGTCAACCCGCTGATGGCGTCGGCGGATTTCTCGATGGAGAATCATCCGTACCAGGATCATTATGTTGCACCGCATCGCGCGCTGGGGGGGTTTTCGTTTGGGTTGTAGATTAGGGTGGTTAGGCGTTTGGTAGGGGTTTGGCCGTGATATCCAGCGAGGGTGGACTTTCGGTGCTTTAGAGTGTACAGTAACTTGCCGTATTCTAGGCTTTGGTTAAATTAGACATTTCTTATATGCTCGAACCCTTCAGTACTCCAACTTCACAGATATAGTAAACCTAAGAGCTACTCAATCAGGGTGACCTTGTCTCAATTGTGTTAGAACGATATAGAAATTGAACAGCTCCGTACAGTTCCATCGATCTCGGAAACGCCAAGACCGCCCGCCAACCACCAGCCGCCATCCGCTTCCACCATCGCAAACCACCGCATGAACCCAACCAACACTAACTTACATACTCCGCCATATAATATTGCATTCAACCCACACCTGTTCACATAACTCACTCATCCCTCACTCCCCATTCCCACCAATCACAAAAAGAAATAGAACTAATGCAATGACATCCCCACCGACAAAACCCCCTGCAACACCAACCTACATCCTCCGCGGCCACGCCGCCCAGATCCACAGCCTGCACCTCTACCACCACAACCGGCGGCTCCTGTCCGGCGACGCCGACGGCTGGATCGCCGTCTGGGATCTGGTCTCCAAGCGCGCCGTGGCCGTGTGGAAGGCGCACGACGGGGCGGTGCTGGGTGTTCATGCCCGCTTTCAGGGAAGTGGTGGGAGTGGTGGGAGGACTCAGGTTTATACGTTTGTTCTACCCCTTTCCCTTCTCTTTCCTTTCCTTTCCTTGCGTTTTCTTTCTTGTTCTTATGTGTGTGGGTTGTACTGATGGAAGGCAGGCATGGTCGTGACCATAAGCTGCGGGTGTGGCGGTTTAGCGGTGTTGAGGAAGGGCATTTGCGGCGGGGGTTGCCGGTAGATTTTGGGGGTGCTGCTGGTGCTGGCCCTGCTGCGGCAGGGGATCTCGGGGATCTGGGAGGAGAGCAGGGTGGAGGTGGCGGGAGGCAGCAGCCGTGGTTGTCGCATTCGTTGCCCGTGAACGCGTTGAATTTCTGTGCGTTTGCGTGGGTGGATCTCTCGCCGCTGTCGCCGTCGGTGTCTTTGGATGGAAATGGGGGGGCAGGACGGCAGGGTAAGGGTGCAGTTTCCGAGCCTAAGTTTGAGCCCGAGCCTTCATCCCAGGACAAGTCCACTTCCACTTCCATTTCTACTTCCACTTCCACCTCTACTCCCACCTCCCCAGTACTAATCGCCGTCCCTAACGCCCTCAACTCCGGCGCCATCGACCTGTTCCACCTGCCCACCGAGCGCCGCGTCTGCACTATCCCCGCGGATGACGAGGTGAAGACGGGAATGGTGATGGCTCTTACCCTCTTTCTTCGCCCCGCGGAGCGTGAACTCTACGTCGCGGCTGCGTATGAAGACGGCAGCGTCATGGTGTTCCGGTCTCCAATCTCTTTCCAGGGTCTGGCTCCGCAGCAGCAGCAACAACAAAACAGTGCCCCGGGCACCTGGAAATGGGAGAAGCTGTACGCCAGCCGCGCGCACGACCAGCCAGTTCTATCGATTGATGCTGCCCCGTCGGGCGAGTGGGTTTTCTCGTCGGCGGCGGATGCGAAGGTCGTTATGCATCCCTTCGTCCGGAGGGCTGGGGCTGGGAGGGAGACGCAGCCCGCCAAGGTGGTGAGTACGCGGCATGCCGGGCAGCAGGGATTGAGGGTCCGGTCCGATGGGCGGATCTTGGCGACGGCCGGGTGGGATTCCAGGGTCCGGGTCTATTCGTGTAAGACGCTGAAGGAGGTGGCGGTTCTGAAGTGGCATAAGGAGGGGTGTTATGCTGTTGCTTTTGCGGGGGTTGGGAGTGGGACTCAGGGGAATGGGGCTGAGGTTGTGGGGGAAGGTGAAGGGGAAGGTGAAGGTGAGCGTACGCTTACGGGCCTTGATGGCAAAGGAGGAGGCCTCTCGGCTGTCCATCAGCGACTACGCAATCAGAAAGTCCAGAATACCCACTGGCTGGCTGCTGGCTCCAAGGATGGAAAGATCTCGTTGTGGGATATCTATTGATTTGGTCTGCATTCATCCATCGATCTCGATTATTTACATGCTCTTGCTTTTGGTCTTGCTCTTTTGTGTGATGAAGAAGGTGATGACGGTTACGCAAGATTGAACTCGTTGGCCCCCGCCATGTGCTCCTTCATCTTGGCTCTCATCTTCTGCGCCGCCAGAGACACATCCGCGGCGCCCCGATCCCCATCATCCTCGCCGGCCTTGCGCTTCTTCCCGCCCACCGTGCTGCGCGCCGCCTTGAAGTCCTTCTTGGCGTCGCCGCTGCTCTGCCGCAGGCCCGGCACGTTGATCTTGCTGGGCCGGTCGCGCAGCGCGAAGCTCTTGGCCAGATGACCCAGGTGCAGCTCCTTGATGTTGAACATGTGGCGCTCGCTGGCGATGTGCGTCGCGTAGGCGCGGATGTGCGACTGGTACGCCCGCCGCGCCATCTCCAGGTACTGCGGGTTGTCGACCGCCCAGCGCTCGACGTCCATCTGCCAGTCGGTCGTCTTGACCTCCCAGTCCTTGCTCTGCGCCTGCACATTCCCACCGAACCCGCGCTTCAGGATGTCATCCGCATTCATCCGCGTCAGCGCCTTGCCGCCGTCGCGGTACCCGCGCTTCAGGATGTCGACGTAGTTCTCCTCGCAGCCGGGCATCAGGAAGAGCAGCGCCCGGCCGTCGCGCCCGAGACGCGCCGTGCGCCCAATGCGGTGCAGGTGGTCCTCCGCGCTGAAGGCCGGGTCGTACTCGACGACCAGGTCCACGTTCGGCAGATCAAGACCACGCGAGGCCACGTCTGTGCAGATCAGCACCGAGGCCTCCTTGCTGCGCGCGAACGCGCCCAGCGTCGCCGTGCGGACGTGCTGCGGCAGCGAGCCGTGCAGGCGGTGCAGCATCACAGGGTTGGAGGGGTTGGAAAACGCGGTGGCTCGGGCGACGGTGCCGTGCTCGTTGGGTTTGGTCGTTGGCTTCTTTTCGTTGTCGGATTCTTCATCCTCGCTTGAGCTGTCGTCGCTATCGTCGCTGTCCTCCGACTCCTTCTTCTCCTCATCTTCCTCCTTGAGCTTGCGCGTGAACAGCTCGTAGTGGAAATCCACCGAGTCCGCACACGAGACGAAGACAATCGCCTTCATCACGGAGCCCTTGCGCATGAACGTCCGCTTCAGGAACGCGGTCAGCGAGACCAGGCGCAGCTTGGCCGCGACGATCGCGTAGGACTGCTTCAGCTGCGCGGGGACGCGGAACGCCTCGTCCTCGTCCTTCTGCTTGACAGCATCAGGGTCCTCGTCGGCGGGGTCCGCCTGCACGTGGATCGCGTCCTTCAGACTGATCTCGCCCAGCTTCTGCACGTTCATCTTCAGCGTCGCGGAACACAGGATCGTCGTGCGCTTGGCCGGCACCCCGGGGATGCGACAGGGCCGCTGCCGGGCGTCCAGCTTCTGAATGATGCCCTGCAGCTCCTTCTCAAACCCCAGCTCCATCAACCGATCGCCCTCATCCAGCACCAACCACCGCACATTACTCACGTCCAGCGCCTGTGTGTTCTCCAAATGATCCGCCAACCGACCAGGCGTCGCGACGAGGATGTTCAGCCCCTTGCGGAGACGCGCCTTCTCAGACTTCTTCTTCTCGCCACCAATCACCGTCCCGGCCACGAGCCAGTGCGCGCACCGCAGCAAGCCCTCCAACACGACGGCGATCTGCTTGCACAGCTCGCGCGTGGGCGCCAGCACAATGGCAAACAGTCCGCTGTCGCGGTGCACGGCCGACGCATCCCCGCCCGCGGCCCCGGCCCCAATCGCCACGCCGTCCTTCCCGCCCGCTGACGCTTTTGAAATACTCATCAACCGCTGCACCAACGGCAGCAAATACGCCATGGTCTTCCCCGACCCCGTCTCCGCCTGAATAAACGCATCACTCTCCTCTTCGAGGAGTTGCGAAATCGACGCCTTCTGAATCGCCGTCGGCGCCTTCACCCCCAACTTCGTCAACAAATGCGCCGCCAAACTCTCTGACAACCCCAGATTCGTAAACGTATCCAGCCCATCGATCAGCGGCGCGTTCGTCGGCTTCGCCTCCTCCACCTCCCCCGCATCCTTACTCTCATCCTCCACATTCTGGGGCACCGGATTCTTCGTGAACAGCGAGGAGACGAACGGCCGCGCCGCCTGGTTTTGATTCTGTTTGTGGTTGTTCGGTGTGGCGTCGTTATCGTCCGTCCGTTGGCGCTTCACCGGCCGCGCGGATACGGCAATGCGATTCGGGTTCTTGCTCGTGTGCTCGGGCTTGGGCGCGTTCGGGTCGCGCGGGGTCTTGCGGTGCGCCGCGATCTTGCGGGCGCTGAGTCGGTCCCGCCATGTGCCGCCTTTGACTTTGGTGGTGGTTGGGTTCAGCACGGTGTCGCCTCCTAGGGTGAAGTTTAGGAGGAGGCCGTCGTCGGCCATTTTTTTCGGGGAGGGGGGTGTTGTTGTTGTGGGTGGTAAGGGTGCTTTTGGCTGATGAGGAGTTTGGTGGTGTTGGTGTTGGTGTTGGGTGAGGGGGTTGAAGTTGAGTTTTTTCTTGGTGGTAGTTGTTTGTTCCAGACCGTGGATTTTCTCTGAGGCGGTCGGGCGGGTTGCGTTGCGTTGCGTTGCGTTGCGTTGCAGAGGGGAACAGCAGAGGAAGCTTTGGGGATGGGAAATTTTCTCGGGCCGAGACTCCTTCCGAGCCCTCTCCATGTGCCCTATTTTCCTTTCTGGGTATGCACTTACCCCAGAGGGTTTCGGGGGAGGGGGTGGCAGGTTTGATTGTGTATTTGATTATGGCTTCTATTAAAGGGTCTGAATCTAGTCTAGTTTACATTGTATAAAATATCTTTTCTTCTGATGTTGGGTATATGTACTGCGGTACGGCGCGTAGAACCTGGCCTGGAGCAAGCAAGCAGCTACGCCCGCGGCGCAAAGATCAGGTTATCGATCAGTCGCACGGGCACCTTGCCCTCGCCCAGCCCGCAGTCCTCGCCCGGCGCAGTCTCCTCCAGCGGTGCCATCTTGATCGCGCCACTCAGAATCGCCCCCTTCGCGGGGTCCACGACCTCCAGCTCCTCCAGAGTGTCCGGATCCGCCAGCGAGATGTAATCGACCTCAAACCGCGCGCGCTGTTTCGGGGCCAGCGCCTCCTGCTCTGCTCGCACCTGCTGCGTGACCGCCTCCGCGGCGTCCAGAATCTCCCTGCGCTGCACCTTGTGCCCAACGGCATACCGCTCCTCCGCCGCCTTCAGCGCGCGATACAGCACCAACCCCACCGCCCGCCGCCTCGCCCCGAGGTACACGTTCCGGGAACTCATCGCCAGCCCGTCGGCCTCGCGCACCGTCGCCCCGATCTTGATCTCCGTGTCCACGTGGAAATCCTTGACCATGCGCCGGATCACGACCGTCTGTTGAATGTCTTTCTGCCCGAAGTACGCCCGCTCCGCGCCCACAATGTTGAACAGCTTCATGCACACGGTCGCCACGCCGCGGAAGAAGACGGGCCGCGACGCCCCCTCCAACTTCCGGGCGATGGGCGTGATTGTCACGAAAGAGCCGTCGCCGTCGATTTCAGAGCTGGGCGGGAGGGATGGGTACATGACCTGCGCGGTGGGGGCGAGGATCGCGGTGATGCGGCCTTGCTGCGGGGAGGTGGTGCGCGTGCTGCTGGTGCTGCTGGGGGAGGCAGCAACGAGCTCCGCGTTCAGCGCCTCCAGCTTGGCGACGTCGCTGTCCCACGTGCGCGGGTAGCTGGCCAGATCCTCGTTCACGCCGAACTGCGTCGGGTTCACGAAGATGCTGACGATCACGTCCGTGTTCTCGGCTGCCGCTTGTCGGATTAATGCCAGATGGCCCTCGTGCAGCGCGCCCATCGTTGGCACGAGGCCCACCGTGCGGTTGGAGAGGAGGATCTCCCTGCGCAGGGCGCGCAGCGGGGGCACGTCGCGGAAGACTTGGAAGGTGTGTTTTTGGATCGGTGCGGGGGTCGTCATGGTGCTGGCTGTGGGTTTGAGGCGGGATGCGGCGGCTGTTTTTTTGGGGAGGGGTGGTTAGTATGCGTTGGAGGGTTTGGTGTGGAGAGGAGAGGGGGATGGGACTGCGTATGCGTACTGGAGAATTGCCGTCGTAAGGTGAACATTGTGGGTTTGAGGGTTTGAGTGAGGAGGGGATAGAGGATTTTCGGAGGGCTGTTCGGTCTGGCGGATGGGGATGGATGCTTCTTTTCCTTGCGGGTCCCCGCTGTGGAGCTGTTCTGTTCTGTCTGCTACTGTCTTGGGGTGAAGCTTCACAACGGCCGAGGGGGGGATTGATCTCTGGGGTGTATGGAGAGAATGGCCAGGGTCAGGTCATCTGGGACTGATTGCATGGATGCTCTGCGGTCCATCCCGAACCATGCAGAGGCGAGAGGCGAGAGGCGAAGGGGAGGTACAAGTACAAGTAAGGGGATCGTGCTCATGGCTGCTGCGTTGAGCTCATCCTTTGCCGCTGGTTCTCCATTGGGTTTAGTGGTTGCTGGTACAGTACAAACAGTGCATACAGTACAACAGCCACTTTCACGTGAGCACATCCGAGGCACCGTTAAGTTACAGAAGTTACAGAACGGTAAAGCCACTCCGTAACTCTGGGGAAATAGCGTGGAGATCGTCCCTGGTCTGGTTTCGTACTCCAATTCCCTCCCCTCTCCGCTTTTCTCCTCTCTCCCCTCCCTCTCAACATCCTGGAGCTATTTGACCATGGCTCCAACTCCCTATCCACTTCCGCTGACTTGATAGACTTCCAAACTTCCATTGCCTGATGCCTTAATGCACTGGCTCCAGCTTGATCTCCATCCCTGTCCGACCAACAAACAATCCCCTCGGCGTTCCCGCGAATAACACCACTACTACCACCACCACCACCACTACCCCAGTCCCATCCCACCACAATGCCCTCCGACACCAACCCTTCAGTCGGCGAATCCGCTCCCGACCTCGAGATCGTCGGCAACAAGCTCACCATCCATCCCAGCGGCGTCGCCGGCGGGCCCGAGCCCCAAGATGACCAGATCCCCGAGCGCAATCTCGTCCGCCACATGGCCCGCTTCCGCGAGAACCCCTTCGACTTCCTCCGTGAGGTGAGCCTCTACATGTCCGGCACCGGCTGGCGCGCCTACGACGAGGTTATTGGCCAGCCCATCTTCTACCCGGGCTTCTCCGAGCGCATGAAGTCCCACATCCTCGCCAGCCCGCTGCTGCAGGGCAAAGTGAAGGAGCTGGCCGAGCTGCGCCTGGCGGTTGAGGAGACGGAAGGCCTGCTGGATGTGGTGCCCGGTCCGCCGGACGCGAAGAAGGCGCATCGGCGCAACGAGATCGAGACGCACCTCAAGGAGGTGGTCGACTCCATGCTGGACAATATGATCTGCAAGATGGAGAGCAAGCGGTTCATTCGCGGGGCCTACTATGTCGCAACGCAGTTGTTGACGAGGGCGTATCACCAGGGTATGTATTGGCCAAACCGGTGGTTTGCTGGTGGTTGCTGATCTCGGGTAGGGATCCATGTGTCGAGCGAGGAGGTCCTTCGGTTAAGGTCGGTGGCCGAAGAGGCGGCCCGGAAAAAACGGTCCATCGTCTTCCTGCCGTGCCACAAATCCCATGTCGACTATGTGTCGCTGCAGTTGATCTGTTACCGTCTGGGGATCGGGCTTCCGGTGGTGGTCGCCGGCGACAATCTCAACTTCCCGCTGGTGGGCCCCTTCTTGCAGCATGCAGGTAAGATTACGGCTGCTCGTCGTTGCTTACTTGTGCTCACGGCTGACGGATGGTGGGCGTAGGGGCTATGTGGATTCGTCGGAGTTTTGGGAATGATCCGCTCTATAATACTGTCGTGCAGGCGTATATCGATACGCTACTGCAGCAGGGGTTTAATTTCGAGTGTTTTATTGAAGGTGGCCGGTCGCGGACAGGGAAGCTGCTTTCGCCCAAGTTTGGGATCCTGAGCTTCATCCTGGATAGTGTCTTGTCGGGTCGAGTAGAGGATACGATCATCTGTCCTGTCAGTACACAGTATGACAAGGTCATCGAGACTGAGTATGGCGCCAGGTCCTGGTCCGTGAGTGTTGGCTAATCGTAACTCCAGGTCTTATATCAGCGAGCTGTTGGGTCAGCCAAAGCGGAAGGAGAACTTGGCGGATTTTCTTTCCTCGTCATCCGTTCTGTCGTTAAAGCTGGGTCGGGTCGACGTCCGCTTCCATAAACCATGGAGCCTGAAAGATTTCATCACCCAGCAGTTGACACGGCTCCCGGGTCAAATCGCCGAGATTGGGAGCCAGAAGCTGAGCAATGTCGAGCGAGGCCGCATCTTAAGGTCTTTAGGATACCGAGTGCTGTCGGATATCAATAATGTGTCGGTCATGATGCCCACCGCGCTGGTCGGAACGGTGCTTCTCACGCTGCGGGGACGCGGTGTGGGCAAGGGCGAGCTTGTGCGACGCGTCGAATGGCTCTGTGAACGGGTCAAAGCCAAAGGCGGCCGCGTGGCGCACTTCTACAGATTCCCCACCGAGGTGGTTGTCGACCGCGCGCTGGAGGTACTGGGGCCGCAGATTGTCGGCAAGGTGACCGGACTGGTCGAGCCGACCTACTACGCGGTGGACCGCTTCCAACTCTCCTTCTACCGTAACATGACGATCCACCTCTTCATCACCGAAGCCCTGGTCTCGGCGGCGATGTACACGCGCATCAAACAGGGCGGCGGGCCGTCCTACCAGCGCATGTCTTTTCCCGACCTCATGAGCCAGGTTTCTTTCCTCTCGCAGGTACGTTCTCTCACCGTTGTATGGACTCTTCACTGACCCACTCAGCTATTCCGTGGCGAATTCATCTTCCCGCCAGAAGGGTTGACCACCAACCTGGACAAAACCCTCCGGGGCCTCGAGAAGGACAACGTGATTGTCGTCAGCCGCGATCCCTCGTCGGGCAAGCCGCTGACCGTCGAGCTCAGCGACGCCGAGCGCCAATGCGGCCGCGAGAACTACGACTTCTACTGCTTCCTGATCTGGCCCTTCATCGAAGCGTCGTGGCTCGGCTCCGTCTCGCTGCTGGGACTAACGCCGCCCTCCGACTTCCCGAAAGACGTGTGGATCGATCTGAGCAAGGCCCAAGACAACGCCCAGCTGGTGAGCCTCCCCTCCCCTAGCCCCCACCGAATGCAAGACTCACGTCCAAAAAGCTCGGTAAAACCCTCTACCACCAAGGCGACCTCTCCTACTTCGAAGCCGTCAACAAGGAAACCCTCAAGAACTCCTACCAACGCTTCGCCGAGGAGGGCATCATCCACATCGCCAAGAGCAAGGAATCCAAGGCCTCCTCCGTCCGCCTCGCCCCGGAGTGGACCCCGGAGCGCGACCCCGCCACCGGCAAGGTCCTCCCGCACGGCCGCCTGTGGGACTTCACCGAATTGATCGCGCAGTCGCGCCGTGAGGGGTGAGTTCCCCGCCCCCCTTTCTTCTACCCCTTTTCTCCCAAGTTTTCCGAAGTAAAATGGGAGTGTGGGGATTGACCCCCCCCCTCTATCATGTCATCAAAACGAATAGGCGATACTAATGCCCCTGGTGCAGCAAAAACCGGCGCGACGGCGC